CTCAGCCCGGGCCACTAGAGCTGGCAGGTACACTCACTGGAGGGGTACGTGTGGGGGCAGCCTGGGGCGCTCCAGGAGATACCCAGAGCAGCATGGACAGGGGACCACACTTTCCTGCTCACTCATTTGCTCTCCGGAGCCACCCACCAGGCCATGATGGAGGGCCTGGCACAGACCTCGTGCCACCAGCACCTCCCACGTCCTCCCCCAGTGCTCAGGGATGCTGTCACAGGGATGCTGTTCTCCCCGGCTGAGTAGGTAGAGCCGACGGAGAGGCGGCGGCTGAGTAGGTAGAGCCGACGGAGATGCGGCTCCCTCAGCCCCTGCCCCCCTGTAGCCACCCCTCCCGCCCCGGCCCGCGATCCCAGCGCAGTGGCAAAGGCGGGTTCGCAGCGGAAGGGTTGCACACCTCTCCAACGCAGATCCCCAACCTGCCAGCAGTGTCTGCTGGGTCACAACCCCCTACATCCCTTCCAGGGGCGATGCAGAGAACCCAGATGCTCTGCCAGGTACTCCACTTACGAAGCAGGGTACTTACTACACCCCCCAAAAAAAGATGAAAAGGAAAGCTGCTGCTTTTAACAGTGTTTTTCATGCAGTTTCTTTATCAGCACCGTGTGTGCTGAGAATTCCCCCCTGCCCAGGCATTTTTGAAGAGCGAGGGATGCTGTGGGGCACTGGTGAGGATTTCTTCTCCCTGTGATGCCGGAAATGCCCTTCAAATGCCCTTCACCTCAGTTTCTAGACATCTTAAGTCAGGTGCTGAGGCTCCAGCCTGGCTTCCCCCAGGCCAAGCTCATCACTAGCCATCCCCATGCCGTGCGTAGTGGTCCTGCCACATTCCTCCCTCTCTCCCCCCGACTCCGAAGTCCACCCTTGCACCCCTCGGTGGCACCAGCCTCCCTCCCCTGCTACCAACCCTGGGCACTAGATGAAGTTTCAGCTACAGAGGTATCGCTCCCCCATCTGCCTCCAACATGTCGCGTTTGACATGAAATAACGCCTCCTATTAACACTGCCAGAAACAGATCTGGAAAAATTCATTTTCAAGCAGAGTTCAGACAGGCCACAAGGATAGAATCCCCCCCCACCAAAAAAAAAAGAGCAGAGAGTAGCCAGAGCCAGCACGATGCCCCTGGGTCAGACCTACCGGCAAAGGTTTGAAGTTCTGGTCCACCAGGTGGTTGTGGCCATGGTCGAGGAAGGAGTGCCGCACCACCACGTCGATGCCCTGGCTGGCCAGCAAGCCCAGCGTGTTCAGCCATCTGGGGATGGAGGGAGCAGAGTTGGGCTGCTGCAGAGGGGGACAGCCGCCTGCTCCCACCGCCCGAGCCAAACCCTTCAGATGGTTTTGTGAGCTGGGTGTTGGTCGGCTCTCACCACCCCCACCCTGGCAAGCCTGCGTGCCTCTCCCCTGCCACAGCCACCTCTGCCCCGACTGTGCCCATCTTGCATGTCCCGACAGCACGTCTGAGCCCCCGCATGCACCCCGGCATCGCAGCCCTGCGCCCAAAACCTGGTGCATCCCCTCAGCCCGCCAGCGCCCTGCTGACTCAGCAGGGGGGACCGAAGCATTGCCTCTCACACCCCCAGGCAAAGTCTTCAACCCTCGCAGCCTGCCAAAGCCCCGATACCCCACACACGTCCCTGCGCCTCCCCCCAGAGCCCAGATAATCTTCTTCTATCTTCCGTGGTCGCGGCCAGCTCTGAAGACCTGAACTGGGGCTTTGCAGCAGGATGTCCGTGCCACGGGGCTGTGCCAGTAGACAAGCCCCAGGAATGGTTGTGGCTTTGAAGAAGGAGAGAAAATGGTTTCCAAAGCGGAGTCCTGCTGAGCGCTTCCCCTGGGCAGGTACCCCAAGAGTAAATGCACGCAAGGATGCGTGGATGCAGCCTGAACCAAAAACGCAGAGCGGGAGGAGGCCCAGGGGATCCTGAGCTGCCGAGCGCAAGGCAAGCCTGTCGGGATGGCAGCCCTGGAGTCCTGGAGCTAGCGTGCCCAGATCACACCTCCCCTTCCATGTCCATGCCCTGCGGGCACACCGTGGGCACCCGTGTGGGATCCCGAGCGGTCCCCTCCTTGCTCTGCTTCTCTGGGTACACCAGAGGCTGGGTCACCTGCAGGAAAGCAGAGCTGAGGACAGGTAATCGGGATGCTACGGAGAAAGTAATGGCGTCCAGGCTGCCGGGGGATTACTGAGGGGGTACAGGTGGAGTCTCTGGGCACAGAGCTGCCCCTCTCCTGGCTGCAGCAGCTTTGAGCCCGCAGACCCCGTGGGGATGGCAGTGCCCTGGTGCCGGCGAGCTGGCGTAACTCACAGGAACCCGGCTGCATAGGAATCGGAGAGGTTGTTCATGCCTCCGGCCGAGGTTGCACCAACGCCTTCCAGCCAGATCTTCTTCCCTGGCGTGTAAGTGTTGACTACCTGTGCAGGACACAAAAGCAACCAAAATGACTCTCATGGAGCTGTGATTTAAAGCCAAGGCAGACATCTCCTGTGCTACGCTCCGGGAAGGGTTACGGAGACCTTTGGTGATGGTGCTGCTGGGCAGTCAGTGCCTGCCTGGCCCTGGCGCGGTCACCAGGTGTCTTCACCATGTCTGGATGGTGGGAGACTGGTCCTCACTTTCTGCAGCTGCTGCCGTGTGTCCACTATCCATCTGCTTCCAACACGTCCTCCCAAATGTGCTCTCACACTCCCAAACCCAGGGCTCTTTCTCCACGGTCTCCCCACACACGCCCCATCCTGGAGGCTGCCCTGCCATGTTACCTCAGCTCGCCATGGCCCCATGCAAGGTGGCCACCAGCCACACGGAGCACCCAAGCCCTGATGACTCTGCAAGGTGGGAGCACTGGGACACATACTGGAGCCACATGGAGGAACAGTGGGCACCCGAGAAGAAAGCAGTGGATGTCTCTGGCCACAGGCAGAGACAGCCCCATGGCTGAGCAGCGGCTGCTTCGATGTCCAAGGCACAGGCACGCAGGTCCGAGCATGCTGGCCCACCCCTTACAAGGCTCCAGCAGGCAGTGCAGACACCCGTGAGATGCCAGGTGGGACAGGAGGGCTCAGGTGGCCGGAGCTGCCCTCTCCCAGTGCGAGCAACCTCTGGCACCACGCAACTCCCCATCCTCTCTCCCGCAATCCCACTTCTCCAAGGCTGGGCAACGAGCTCCCGCGACCAGATGTCTGCAAACCCAGAAGCCCGAGGAGCGCTCCGCGCAGCCTGATGTATCCTGCCCCATTAGTGAGGAGAGCTGGAATGTGCTGGATGGACTGGGATCCCTCAAAGATGTTAAATACGCCAGCTCTGGGCTGCCTCCCACTCACAGCCTGTGAGACTCGACATCCCTGACTGAAGCCCCAGAGGTGTTGGCATCCTGCCTGTAATTATCTAAGCCCGCCACCTTCCCCCGTCGGAGAGGAAGCAATAAAACAGGGAAGTGGACAAGCCCAGCTGCTCTAATCAGCCCCGGCAGGATGCACGGACTCAAAGCCAAGCTGGAGGCTATTAGCACCCAGCGCTGTGCTTTTGCTCAGCCGCATTGGCATTCCCAGGAGAACCCTTCCCCGGCCATACCCTGCGCAGACCAAATCCTGCCCCGTGGGTGCAAGGGTTCCCCCAGCCCGCATCGAGGGCAGCTCCTCGCTGCCACTGGTCTGGGAATGGATGGGGTCCACGAAGCCCCTAGAGCTGGTGTGTCCTGTCCTGCTGGGGATGTCACCACCCAGCTGCCCATGGCCGGAACAGCAAATGCCATCCCACCGCCGCTGCCCTGCTCCCAGAGCCCTCTGCCCAGCCCTCCCTGGGGGCTCCTGCTCCAATCTCAGCAGGTTCCCAACCCACAGTGGAGGTGGGATACGTGCCACCACTTTTGGTGGGGTTGTGTCCCCCCAGCAGGAGCAGGGCTGGTGGATGCCTCTTGCTTGCCCCCGCGCTGATCCCACCCGCTGCCCCACCATGCCTCCCCGCAGCAGGAGGACCATCCATATGCATGGATGATTCCCAGTTTGTGCTGGAGGACTCGACAAGCGGCGCAAGCGGCTCTTCTCCTCCGGTTTTGCTATGCCGACCCTTGCATCCCCTTTCCCGGGGCCTCTTTGAGTTGTTTACTCATCCTACGGATTCTCCCTGCAGGAATTACAACAGTAAGACGTTGTGGTGACTGGTATGGTATGAAAACCTAGAGAAGACAGACAGATAGACATGTCCTCTAGTCCCTAAAGCCTTCCATGCTTACTAGGTGTTCCTTATTTCTCGTCGGAACAACAGCTGAGCGAGCTGGCCACAGCACTGGCCCCCGTACCAGCCAAAGCAGGGGGACCTGTGGAGCCCCCGTCCCCTAGCCAGGCTGTAGAGATGCGAGCTGGGTCCCCCCCGAGCGGCGGGGAGAGGAGCGCTCGCTGCAGGCTGCGCTAGCCAGGCAGAGCCGTGGGCTCTGACACAGCACGCCAGCAACAGCTGGGTTTTATAACGCAGTCAAAACACGATCATCAGGGAAAAACAAACAGTTGTTCATAATGATGTTCATGATTCTCCACCAGTGAAAATCACCCTGGAAATGCAGCCGTCACAACTTTGCAAGCAACATCTTTATGCACTGGCAGCAAGCGGGGCAAGGTATTGTCCCCTCCTGAGCAGGCACGGCACCAGCTGTGCTTGGGACGGTTTGGTACTGACTGGTTGCTCCCTCTTCTCATCCTTGGGAGAAAGTTTCAGGAATGGACGGATAGGAGACTGGAGACAGTCAGCTGCTTTAGAAAGGCTTTGCACGGCAGCGTGCATCCAGCCTGCGCCACGCTGCAGCCTGTGGCCGCTTCCCTCGCGACCCACCGCTCATCCCACCCCAGGGCCGGGCATCGTGCTGCCCAGACTTTCCTCCCATCCCCTGCGTGAGGACTGGCCGCATTTGGGCTGGGAGGACAGCCACCCCCAGCAGCCGCCCTCCATCCCTGCCCCATGCCAGGTCCCCCGGGAACATATCAGTGCTGAGGCCAGAGCCCCGGCCACGAGCTGTGCCGAGGTGGGCATGATGTCCCCTCGCCGATCCTTTGCACTCACGCACTTTCTGGATTTTCCTGATCTGGTCAGAGAGCGTGTCTAACAGGCGCGTTTTCAGGAAGTCCGTCACTTTGGCCACTCGGCCATCAATGTAGTAACTGGAAGGAAAATAAGAAGACAAAGATCAGACAGCTGGGAGTAGCTCTGCCCCGAACCACGTCCTCCTGTCCCGCTGCTGCCCCACGCCAAGAAGCCTCCTCTGCTCTGGGGCAGCCCCTGCTTGCACCCTGCCCTCCCCTGGCCCTCTGGCCATGCCTGTGTTTGGCAGATGCTTTCGGTCTCCAAAACAGGGTGTCAGGTGGATATGCCCTGAACGCTGAGCATCCTACGCTACAGGAACCACGGGAAATTTCGCACTTTCTTAACTACTGCTGGTGAAACGCTGGGAGCGGACCACAAAAGGCTAGGAGCAAAACACCACCCACAAAGGCTTTGCAGCACCCTCTGCACTGATCTCATGGAGACCCCCATAGAAGGAGACCCTCCAACACACCACTTATAACAGCAGCACCTGGGCTCCACCATCAGGGAGATCTTGGGAGATCTTCTGCTCACCCAGCTCGTCCCGTCTGTACTCATCCACTGTATTAGGGACACACGGTTTCCAAAATGCAGATAAGCTGGTCAGCCCTGGGCGCAGCATCATTGCTACTGGAAAGATTGCTTTTACAGGATGGCAAAAAGGAAGAAGCACATCTAATGGCTGAAAAGAAGGGTTCCTTAGCCACAGGAGGACACTACGCAGGCACCGGGGAGGAGAAGGGTCCCGAACAGCCAACACCCTCTGAGACACACTGGAAATTGCTGCAGTAAACACCCAGGAGGGGACAGGAGAGGCTGCCCACACTCCCAGCTGTGGGAATAACCACATCACTCTGCCTGGGTTGCAGGACACTCTCCATTCAGTGGCTGGTTTTCTGGCCACCGGTGCATCTGCAGGGGACACCGTACAGAGCCTCTTCTGGTCTGAGAACCAGAATTGTTCCTCGACACCCAGCTGCAATAACAACCCTCTGGGCTAAGCCCTGGCCGTGTTTCCAAGCAAGGATTGGTGACCATGGGGTGCACAGGCTCAGGACCTATGGTACCAGAGAGAGCCCTGCTCCCAGCACCCCTGCACAACCTGCACCTTTCTTCCTCGATCTCCCAGCAAAGTCCACAGCCGAATCCCCCAGTTGAGAAATGCCGTGTCCGTTACCCGCAGGGGAAGTCCTGCTCTCGCAGAAATCCCTTCTGCCCTGGGAATGCCAGGGAGTGTCCCATGCAGAGGGCTGATTCCTGCTCTCCATGTGCTTGCTTATATAAAACACGGCTATAGTGCTGCCAATCATAAAGTCAATCAGCTGTCTCTAAGTGTGCGGGGAAGACTCTGAAATGCCTCATTACTGTCCAGCATGTAAGGTGAAGCCATCAGACCTGGAGAGCAAATGCCCTGCGGCTGGAGGTAATCCCAATGGGCTCCTTCTGAGGAACTGTCTGGGGCTGGCACCTCCGTCCGCAGGCAAGGAGCAGTGGCAGCCCTTGCACATCTCCCAGAGGCTCCTCCCAGCCTTGCAGGGACACCAGGACATTGTCTGCAGCATGCACTGACATATCCCCAGGGCAGACGTTTGGCTGATGAACAGTTTTTGCAAAAGAGACTTTCTGAACCTCCTCCTCCTGAATCTGCAGCGTGCATCAGCCACTCGACACAGCGAGCCCCAGCGCATGTTGGAGCCATGCTGGGGTGACAGAGGTGCACACAATTGAAGCAGCTTTGGCTGGGGCTGGCAGGACTCAGCTATAGCCTCCCATCCCTCACTGGAGCCATGTCCACCTGGCGTTCACCAGAGTTACACAGACCCTTCTCCCTCTCCACAGACTTCAGTGCGGCCACGGGCGCTGGGATGCACAATGGACTGAAAACCTGGGGTCTGAAGAAAGGTGGATTCACCTTTCCAGGGCTGATTTCTCCACAACTTGCATCTCATCCACACCAGCAAGCAGCCGTAGTGGTTGCTTCACTTGGGTGCTGGAATGCAGGAGCATTCCAAAAGGATGCTGTGGGCTAACCCAGCCTCAGCCAGAGCACCCGTCACACGTGTGACATGCACGAGTGCTCAGACAGGATTTTTTGCTCCATGTCACTAGCCAGGTAACCAGGTAAATGCACTTGGAGCTGCACAGGGCTGCAGTGGAAGGGGAGCAATGCCAGGACTAACTGGCCCAGAAGAGAAATCCATTAAATGAGAAGAGTCTCCTCTGCCAAGCTTCCCGAAGGTGCACAGTCCCTGCTGCGTCCCCAGCGAAGCAGGGGATCGTGCCCAGCTTCACTCCAACTCCTTCCCTCTAACCCAGGGAAGGAGGAAAGAGGCATTTCTGCATGTCCATGTTGACTGGAAGGTGCTAAGGGCAGAGATTATCTCCAGGGAGGGGACTTAGGAACTGTTCAAAATCATTCCAATCCCTTATACACTATCGAACCACTGGCTGCCGAGAGTAGAGCAGATCTGTAAGCAGCAGGCAGTGGTGGGGTTTACAGAGATTACTTTTTAAGACAAAATTACAAAGCAATGGACTCTGGGGATGGCAGATGTTTGGATTTTAGCACTGCACTTAAAAACGGAGCAGAAACGATTTTTTCAGACTGCTGTGGACTAAAAACCCCATCATCTGGGACAAAAACTGGCTAAAAGGCCATAAAAATAAGGTTGTATTGACTGGGAAAAGATGGAGTTAGAGAGACGTCAGTCTGCGTATGGCCCCTCCAATGCTGAAGACTTTCTGCAGCGTTCACCTTGTCTGTGCAAGCCAATATGGTCCCAGAGCCCAGAATAAACCCCTCGAAGAGCAAAGGCAGGCTTGCACCTCCTCATCGGCTCATCCCAGCGCAAGGTGTGCTCAGACCTACAGCTCCGCTGCCAAGGGAGAGGAACATCTCTCCAGGAGAAGCCCCAGAGGAGGCTCTGCCCTCCCAGGGACCGTGCGGAGGAGGCAGCATGGGAAGATGCTGCTGTGCTGAGCACAGCCGAGACCCTGCAGGGAAGAGGAATGCCCATGGTCACGGGTTTTTGACATTTTCATTAACAACCCAGAGAAATGGGGACTGGCACAGGAATGAAAGGCAAAAATAAACTTTCTGCTTCAGTATCAGAAAATCTTGTTGGTAGCATGTCTCCTGGGGGAACATGGAGGGGAGCGCCTTAGCTTTGGGTATTTAAGGTGAGGATGAAGACATTTATAAGCTTCTGTGAGATGGGCAAGGATCTCTTGCAGATCTGCCTGGGAAGCTCTCAGACACCAAGATGTACTTTCAACCTCCCTAAACTGGGAAAGGGGTGAAAACGGCACCAGTTGCATGAGGCTTGCGAGGAAGGGCGAAGCACTGAGGTCTGCCTTGGTACCAGGCTACCCAGGAATGGGTGAGCTGTTTCCAGCTGTAGGCTTCACCATTGACATTCGGGCACTTCCTTTTGAAAACTTTAACCCTCAGTAAAGGCAGTGTAGAAATCCACAAAACACAAACAACTGACAGACCCTTAAAGCAGGAGAAGCGCTCGTTAGGCGTGGATTATTCCCAGGAGCAAAGGCTGCAGCTTTGCTGATATTTACAATGACTCAGTGCACTTGACTTTCAAAAAAACCCCCAAAAAACCCTAAACCAAAAAAACCCTGAACAGTCGCAGCTCTCCAAGCTCTAAAAAAGCCAACAGCAGCTGCAGAGAGCTCCAGCGCTGACAAGTACCTCCCCAGGCAGCAGCATGGTGCACAGGCAGCCAGGCCGAGACGGCCCCGGGGGACCGCAGCATCCACATCCTCCTCTCCCCACACCGGCGAGGTCTGAGCGCCAAAGAAGATGAGCAGACAGGCCTTCCCCAGCGCGGGCAGGGGTCTCTGGCAGAGGACACATAGCTCAGGGAAAAGCTATTTGGTTCCAACAGGGGCTGGCAGATCTTTCAGTGGGCTCTGAGTACGATGCAGCACCAGAGCTGGCCCTGAAGCCTAGGAGATATCAGCATGCCCATCGTGGGCACAGACCATGCCATTTCTCATAGTATAGGAGAAAACAGACACGGGCGGTTACATGCAGAGCTGACTCATCATGTCCCCCAGTTTGATGCCGCTATCTCTGTAGACAGACAATCTGCAGGAACCAGCTAAGGAAAAGAGGAATCTAACAAATAAATCCTAGATGAGACACACGTCTTAAAGAAAAGGCCATGTGCAGCCACTTTGGGTGCCCTACTATACGGTACAAAGCTGAGGCCAGTTCTGTCCCTTCCGCTTACAGAGCAAGGGGTACCCCGTTTCTAAAAAAACTCATTTGAATATGCCCTAGAAACCTGTGATGGGACCAGTGCACTTTGCAAAGGGAATTGTCACTGTATCACTCCGGAGGTGGCCAAACCAGAGCATGGTGCAGGGGCAGGACTCCACCAAGGGCCGGGCAGGGATTTGTGCCAGCGCAAGGAAATGCACCACACCTCAATTCCTGGCCCCCATCCTTGGATGGAACAGTAACATGAGACTCAAAACACAAGGACAGGAGCTGGGAACAGTACACTGAGAAAGCTGCTGCCAGGGGGACATCTGAGGCAGGGTTGAGCACAGCTGCCAACCGAGGACGTCCCTGTCCTCGGGCAGGCTGCAAGGCTGGGATGCACACAGGTCCCCAGTGCCTCCCAGAGAAGGGCAGTGCCAGGCACCGGGGCTCTTGGGCGAACCTGGGGCTTGGCTGCACATCTCTATCCTGTCACCTCCGGGGCTTGTGCTGCCTTTAAAATGGGTTTCTGGAAAGATCCACAATTTGCTGCGTGGGACCATGATCATCGTCCCATATTTAATGAAGGCAGTGCACTGGCTCCTGGGCAGCTGGTTTCATTTACCTCCTCTTTCATTTTAAAGAGAAACCTTTGCCCCTATTATCTGACCTCTTCTTCTGTTGCAGTTAATTACATTAAAGCCCACTTCCCAAAGCTCAGGAATTTCCGGATCTACTTTGTTGCCTGCTGCTATGGGGAGAGTCTGCTAGGAATTAGGGCACCCGCCTGCCGGGGACGTCGAGCGGGGCAGAACCCCGCCGTCAGCGTGACACCCCACCACCACCGCAGCTGTGAAACCAAGACACCTCTGCTGACGGAGGTGGTCCCGATCCCTGAGCATCTTCCCGAGGAGAGGGCAGAGCCGCCATCTGCAGCTCAGGACACAGACAGTCCCACTGCTCCCCGCCCCTGGAGAGGAAAGGGGAGATGTGACCAGCTCCCCCCAGGTGAAGACCTGCGGGCACAGGGGAGAGGCGCTGCCCACCTCCAATCAACTAATAAATGCACCAATAAAGAAGAATGACTGGGGGCTGCTCTCTGGCCCTAAAGGCACAACTCACCCCCATGCCTTTCTCTGCCCCTGGACGAGGTGCCTCTGTGCGTCCCGACGGTGGGAGCCGTCTCTGGCCCATGGCGTCTCCCCGGCCGTGCCCTGGCATCACCTGGGACTGTGCTGGTGGCCAGGGCTACGATGCTGCCAGGGACTGTGCCCTCCATCAGACAGCGCAGAGGATGGCAAGCCAGTGTGCAAAGCCGTGCCCTGGCCAGGCCTGTTTACAGGTAAAGATGACTCCTTCCTGCAACCCCTTCCTCCAGGCACAATCTCAGAAGTCACCGCACCCTGAGCACCTGCAGTAAGCTCACGCGAGCCAAAATATATACCCTTGGTATATCCATTGGGGGGGTGTGTGTGTGTGCACACTGGGAAAGTCTCCCCGGGCACCTTTAGGAAATCTGCCCCCTGCTACAGCTACTGCCTGGTGAGCATCTCCCTCCGCACACTTGATGTGTGTAAGCCAGAAGAGATGCCACCCAAACCAAGCCCAGCAAAAGCATTTCAAGCAGTATCTCCCACACGCCTGCGTGCCTGGCACCTCTGACTGCCACACAGGGTGGGTGGCTTTCCATCTTGGAAGATAACATGGCATTCTCCAAGGAGCCAAAAGGATAGATGTCGACTGGCTTTGAAGAGGCAGACATTTACTTTCCTGTAAGCAACAGGGATTTGTGCTTCAAAGGGAGCGTTACATAAGGATTTGCCCACTAAATTTGCCAAACGTGAGAGTTTTGCACGACATTTGGGATGGGAAACCGGCCATACAGACTGAGAGAGCACGCACGGGGAGGGGACCGGGCACGGCTGCAGGTTTAAGTGGGCAGTGAATCTTCCCCTTGTGCGAGGACGCCGGCACCGAGCGAGGAGATGGCTGTGGGGAGGTTTCCGAGCAGCGGGAACCCGCATCCAAAGACTGAGGGGGTCTGCAATAAACTGAGCATTTACTCATAACCAAACATAACAAACAAACGATCAGGGAAACGCCAAAACTCTCAGAGCCACTGTCCGTCCCACCTGCCACACCCTCCTTTAGTGGAAATTCCCTGAGCGTTTCAAAGCCGTTCACACATCCCTCTCCAGCAACACATTACTTCTGAAGAGGAAGGCACACATGCTGAGTTACATATGTAAGTGAAACCATTCTCAGAAAGGCTGGCGAGGCCGCTTATTTCCACCCAGTGTCACTTTTCTGTCAGATATATTTCAGATATATTCTGTTTTCACACAGAGAATAGGGATCCCTGCAATGTATTCCCTTCTCAATTCCCTTTCTGGATCGAGCGCAGCCTTTTCAAAGGAATAACAGATTTGACAAATTTATAACCGATATCCCGGGAGAACGTTAGGGTTTGGAACAGAAACGTTCATACTTGAAGTTCGACAGCAGTTTAGTTTCCTGCTAATAATTTTCTTCTTGGATACAAAGGAACGTGTTTTGTTTTGTTTTGCTGTTTGGAGCAGAGGGATGAGACACTGTTTTGACATTTATTCATAAACAGTACAGAAGCCCAGCTCGGAGCTGTGGCCATTGCCAGTCCTCGCACATGCAGATGGGTGCAATCTCCAGAGCTCCAAACCCGGGCTGGGGGAGAAGCGGCTCCTACGCCGCAGTGGAAACGGGTCAGGAAGCAGCGCCTGAGCCCCACCGACCCTCATGGGGAGCTGCACCGGCCCTCCCCATCACAGGGTGCTCAGCACCAGAGCTGCCGAGCCCTTTGCACTGACCCTAGAAGAAGAGGTTTCAAAGCAGACGTGCGGGCAGATTCCCTGCACGCCAGCATGAAACTCCATGTCTGAAGTCTGGAAATTTGTTCCTTCAACTCCTCCATGGGCTTGGCCCGGGGATCCAAGCCCTGTTGCAGAAAGCAAATTCCTGGACGAAGTAAATGTGATCAGCACATCGTGTAATCATGAAAAGCAAACTCCCAGCTGAGACATAGATCATCAGTGCACAGCATGAGCCTGTAAGTAACACAAATCCTGCTCCAAATGCTCTGCTACCCCACTGCCCCCATTGCACCGAGCTGCTGCTGCCTGGCAGGGAAGCCCCAGGAGCCAAACACCCAAGCAAGCGATGCTGCAGCACCATGAGGAACAGGGCTTGCTGGATGCTGGTGCTATAAACCACCCTGAGATACCAACAGTTGCTTCTGCAGGAGGCTCCAAGGTTAACACACCAATACAGAGACCCTGGGCGCACTCGCAAGAAAGCCTCACGTCTTAAAAACCAGCAAGCTCTTTTTAAGAGCAGGTCTCCAGGTAGGCTTTTACAAGAGATGGGCTTTACAAACCACGCTGCTACACTTCAGCAAAGCAACCTGAGCACCCCACGAAGGGTCTCCGTGAAGAACCAGCTTGGGGAACAAGCCCTGTGGGCAGCACACACAAGCCCTCCTTGCGCCTGAGACCCCAGCTCCCGTGCCCTGCGTGGGAAGTTTAACCCAGTATCAGATCAAATCCACTTTTTCTGGGAACAGGGGAGTATCACCATGGGTTTTGCTCCAGTGAATGTCTTTTCTGATGCAGGAAAGAGTCCTGCCTGCCCCACACACCCTTTTTCTATCAATTCTGTCGGTCGCTGCTGTGCTTGCACACTGCCTCACCTTTGCAATGGCATTTGCACTCCCATTGCAGAGAGTCACAGCCTCCTGGGGAGCCTGCCTCTGCCCACAGTGTGCAAACTGGGGCAGTTGGAAATAAGAGGAGAAGAAAGGTGTTTATGGATTTTCCCCCAATTAGGAAAACCTTTCCCTCCACTTGGGTGCCTGTCACACCCAGCGCTACAGCTCAGAGATGGCTTTGCTCTTCTGAACTGCAGCACATGTAGGAAACCAGGAGGAAAATCAGGTATCAGCATCTCTCTGGCAGCCCCAGCTGGGCCTGGATCTTGGATGTTCACCCCCTTTCCGTCAACATCCACTCCTGGGGCTCCATCTGCAGTGTAGGACAGCAGCATGTCTACAGGACCCTTACAAAACAGAGCAGGCACTGGGGCATTACGCATTTACCATTGGACTAAACTGCCTCTCCCTCCTCTGGGCCAGACCAGCTTAGCTTCAGGCCAGTGGTTGCAGGGAGACAGTGGTTGGGGTGGAAAGAAAAGGGCTTTCAGATAGTCCCATACACCTGTTACATGTGACTTTTGCTTCCCTGTTGTCCCCACCTGGCCACCACTGGAGCTGCTTGGACCTCAGCGGTGCAGCGCAGGGCTTTGTTTCCAGCAATCAGGCAGGCCAGGCACGCAGGCAATGGTATTTTTAGCCTCTGTCTCAGCTGCCGTGGTAAAGGTTAATACATCCCCTCCTGTATTTGTTCGAGAGGCTCCAGAAGGAGGGGCAGAGCCTCTTTCGCTTATTTGAATGCAGCAGGAGGACAGAGGAGGTGGCTGTCACACATCCGCCCCCTTTCACACCCAGACAGCGCATCAGCTCTGCTCCCAGCGTCACCTTATCACTGCAATTAGCGTTTGAAAGTAGAAGGAACGGTGAATACCTACTGTTGCCAGGTAACAGCATCCACCGTGCTGCCAGCCACTTTCATGAACCTATAGGAAACAGAGGAAGAAACCGTGTAAGCCCAATGTTGTCACAGGGGAAGTCCTAAAACAACCGATGCCCATCCTACATCACGGGATACCAAAGGCGGTCACCACACTCACAGACCCTTTCTAATGAAACCTTTGCATCCTTAAATGGAAGGAATAAATTAGACTTAATACAAATGCTTGTAGCTAGCACAGCTGAGGATAACGGAGTGAAACCCAACTGGCAGCAGAGCTCTGAGCATCATTTTGGGGCAGGTAGGGAGAGCTCTCTGAGCACAACAGCATTTCAGGAACAAGATCTTGGGGCATGTACTTAGTTCTATGACTGCAACAACCCTCAATAGTGATTAAAGAAAAAGTTCTAAATGCCCATCTTAAAACCAGACACTTCTTCACCCAACATGTATTTAAGCTGAGGAACTCCTTGCCTGGACTCAAGCAAGGACTGGGAAATGGAAGAAAAAACAGCAACACTATTAGATGCAAAGACGCCACCTCCAGCTCAGGAAGCCCCTGAGCATTGGAGGATGGGAGGAAAGGCTGGACAAATACTGCTACAGGCTTCCCTTTTTTTGGATGCTCTTTCTTTGGCATTGGCTGTTAGCAAACTGATGGGATTCTGACCTGGGTGCACTTGTGGTCTGTCCTGCTCCTGTGACTAACCACAGGCCTTCCACGCACAAGGTTACAGCAAGTTATATGTACTTACGGACTCAACCATCTTAAAGAAAACACACCTCCTCCAGACAGACCCTATTTGAGTCAGACCTGAGGCCACACATGTGTATCTGTTTACGCTGCTGATGCCAAAACCAAATCCATTACTAATCTTGGGGTCCGTACGCGACCAGGCAGCAGCAGCCTCTAGCTTGCTGCCATCCAAGATGGTCCCTCCCTGGCTCCCTGGTCCAGCAATCCAAACTGCGCCTTGGAAAACTGCGGCTCCCAGGAGGAAGCCAAAGCAGTCACTCACTCTATTCTTACGCTTAGGAGCAGAGATATGAAAACACACACAGGCACACACCAACTGGCCAGGCACGCTTTTCTGCTCAGTAGTGTAACATGTGCTGCATAGCTGATGCATTTTGGAAGTGATAATGTATGCACCTGACAGGAGACATTGGCGTGAGCAAGCGAACGTGATGAGAAAGAAACCGACGCTGTACTGTCTCGGGCTGCTTTTTGATGCACAGGGATCCCAGGAACACAACAGGAATCACACAGATGTCCTGATTCTACTGGGACACAGGGATGGGTGGCGCTGGGTCCTGGGACCCCCAACTCCCCCAGGACAGCCCCACGACGGAGTGCGGGGAAGGAAAGGGAAGGTTTGTGAGCCCTTTTATCAGACCAGTTGTCATGGCAGGGAAGAGCAGCAAGCTTTCCGGCACATGAGCCTCTAATCAGGTCTGAAACAAGAGCAGCAAACTTCAGGCTAAATATAGCTCGGAAACAATCATTCTGACTTTAAATTAATGACGATGGTCAATTATAGACTGGGACAAAAGGGCAGCTGGACCCTGTGAAGCATAAGAGGACACTGGCAAAGACAGCGGTAATAAATCGCTGTGGACAGAGAGGGAAGAGATACAATTAGAAATGGAAAAACAATAACGTGCTGTAAAACCCCATAGCACGGATGCATCCCTGATTCTGCTGCCTCGCAGTGCTGTGAGCTTCATTTCCCAGGCTCGCCTTTCAGAAATGCTTTTACATCTCTCTGGAGGGTCAGGCCAGTGCCAGGGCAGTGGTTTGGTCAGGGTTCCTCCCCAGCTCAGCATGGCGAGGAGACCAGCTGGACCAGCCCCAGGGAGGTGCGAAATCCACGCAACTCGCACAGCTCATCTGGATCAAAAAGAAAAGGGGATTTTGCAAACATTGCTATGGAGCGGCTGCTGTTCTACAAAACTAAGTGCACAGAAATATGGCAAAGGGATCAAAAAAAACCCCGACTCCCAGGTTTTAAATGCTCAGTAGAGACTGTTGCCTAAACTGTAATGCACAAAGTGTACAAGAGTAACTAATGAAGTCTAAGCTGAAATTATGAACACAATCTACATTGGGTTTGAAGATCGATATATTGCAATTGGGTTTGAAGATCAGCCCAGCTTTCTTTCTAACCTCAAATGCTTTATGTTACGGCTGCAAAATAAACCATCCTGGACTTCACTAAATCAGCTCTTCAGGCTCAGCTTGGCACTCTCCACTCTCAGTCCGAAACCATGAGCAGATGGAGCTCGGAGGAAGAAGTTCTTTGGTGTTCCTCACCACTTCCACAGTGCCTACAGCCCTGCTGCAAACACACCCGCTACAGCGGTCTTTGAGCAGGGACTGAAGAGCAAAGCAAACCCTCGATATAACCTCCAGCATCCCTGGAGCAGCAGAAGCAGGACATCCATCTGTCCCATCTCCCGCGTCTCTAGGAAGCTAAGTGACCTGTTGTTAAAAAGCTCCTGAGAAAATGTTGTTCTAGGACACAGGCATCACTCAGGCAGCACAGCGCAGACCAAAAGCAGGACAGAAAAGGCCCTGGTTTGCTTAGTGTTCCTCTTCTATCTCCGTAAGAGCAAAATAAATCGGTTAGTTCTGGTCATTTTCAAATTTTACCATAAAAGATGGATATCTAGCTCAAATTTTGCTTTCCATGTCTGTTTTTCTTTCTTTTTCCTTTTATTGAGATTTTTGCAGGATGAAGTTCAAAAGTTCCTGGTAAAACTTCAAGTCCTGCCTTAATGGTGGAGTTGTGCCTGGAGCACCCCAGATGACTTGGGCAATGGTCTCTACCCTCCAAAGGGAACCCAGAGCAGCTCAACAGCCCACAAGTGGTACTGCACGAGCAAGAGATGAAAGCCCAGGGCAGGTGGAGATGCAGTGACACACCGGTATCCGAATATCCTCGGTTTAGGCATACAGATGTTACTAATCCCTTTATTCCTGTAGCACCTGTGCGGCTCAAACCACAGATTTTGAGGCCAGTGAAGATCCATACGGTCCAAATGACCAGCGCTGGCACATTTTTATCTGGGATTTCCTGGACTGCACGATGTCCATGTGTGCAGCGCGGCGCAGGCAGAGCAAACCAGACGCTTCCGGGAGGGCTCAGGTCCCTGCACATGTGCTGCACAGATGGGCCGGGCTGGCGCAGTAAATCTGCCATTTTCCTACACATTGGCCTTTCTCTGTAAGCACCAATCGACCGCGCAGCGCCTCTGCAGTCAATCCCCCCCTCCCAGGAGAAGCTGAGCCTGTGCTGTGCAGGCAACGTGGGCAACTACTGCAGCGATGCCCCGTAATTCAGATGGGTGGCAGCCCCAGGGCACGGCCGTGCGGTATCCCCAGCTGGACTTCCACAGATCAGAAACCTGGGCAAATTGTTGAAGTCCTCAAAATCTGCTGGGGCAGCATCTCTAGGTGGGGAAACAGGACGTGTGAGAGGCCCATGGAGGAACAGGAGCCTCGGGCAGGGAGTTTGTGGTACTGATGTTTATACAAAGTCACTGAGCTTGGATACGGCCATCTCCTCACCCTTGCAGCTGCCCATGTGCCAGCATCCCATGCCAGCCCTACTACTTGCGGGGCCTGTGTTGAGCCAGAACTGAGGCTTAAGCTTTTTTTTAAAAAACAAGCAATGAGAAAAAGGTAATTTAGCATTGCTTAACTCAAACACTTCGCAGCTTTGTCCCAGAAATGGTAATATGGGCAAAAGGTGGGACAGCACATCACAACTCAGCTGTGGGAGAGTGGGGCAGAAGAACTGCAACACCACGAGATGGTACCGACACCACAACTCTATACTGTGACACCATGGCTCAAATCTGACCTTTCCCAGAGCAGCTCCCATAGCCACATCTCCCAGGACTGCAACTTTCACTTGAGTGTGGGCACGTCTCTGAAATAGATCTCCTGTCCTGATTCAATACCTGCCAGTCACAGAGCACTTACTGCAACCTTAAGCAAATTACTCCCATGGTTAATTAGCCTCCAAGTATGTTATTTCTCATCTGAATGTGTCTGGCTTCAGCTTCCAGCCACTGGAACTTCCTAGGCTTATTCCTGATACATTAAAGAGCCATCTGCTTTTGGAAATCTCGTTCCCATGCAGGTAATTGCAGATTGTCATCCTTTAAACAATAAAAAAAAAAAAAAAAAGTGATCTGTAACAAAGAATGCAGCTGCACAAAGAGACAAGTTACTGTTGCACAGGTTCCCAGACAGTTTAGCATCATCGCCTGACTCCTGGGTGCTGGACTTCACAAACACGGGATATTTCATCTGCTACTCCCTGGAGGAACACAAAAGCAAACTGACCCCCTCAAGCCCCAAATGTCGGAGCAACACTGGCCTGCCTGTGGTGCCGTGGCTGATCCCTAGAGGTGGGTGGCCGATCTCTGCCCGTTGAGCCAACAGTGATGGGTAGAAATAGCTTCATCTTGTGTCTGAATTTTTTGGTGAGGGAGACTAAGGCACAGGCGTCACTTGCTAACTTCTTCGGGTTTCAGTAGCACAATCAGATACCTGCAGCAGCAGAGACAGGTACTAAACCAAACTGCAGCTGCTGCTCAACAAATCTGACCTGGGATTCAGACAGGGATTTCCCTTCAGGGAACAGAGCCTGGTGGGGACTACATACAAATCTGCTGCTATATAGTATTGTCTCTCTGCTCAGCATCACCTTTCTTCAACCAACCTGATCTACGGCAGGGCTGTACAAGCCTTCTAGCAAAGAGGGCTTTAAGTCCCAGACTGACCCACCCAGCCTTGGTAATCTGCACTCCAGGGACTCTGGAGGTTGCTTTTGGACCGTGATGTTGCGTAAACACTGATGCTTTTTCCCACCATTGATTTGTCCAGTCCCTTTCTGAACACACACAGCTCTGGCCTCCACAGCCCCCTGTGACAATGACTTCTACAATGCCATCACGTACCATGTGAAAAAGCTTCCTCCTTCTTTCCAAAGCTTCCTTCCAAACTGCTTTCTGCACTGTGGAAAAAACACCCCA